AGGCAGGAGGGTACCCATGGCACAGCACCCTTCAGCCCCAACCCACACGCAGCACCCATCTGGTGTTTGGAGGGGGGGAGCCCAGCGGGGCAGCACTGTGCCCACCCAGCACCATGGCACAGCTCATAGCCCCAGATGCCCTTCTTACCACACAGGCTGGCATTCTCAGGGAGCACCGGCTGTGCCCAGGGTCTGACGGGACACTATCTCATGGGACACTGACAGGGGACCCTTGTGGTCCCACACACTCTTTTGAACCCCCTGACCACCTGCAGGCCAACCAGGACAGAGAGTGGCCCCCACCTGGCCTGGCCTCTCCTAACTGGGTGTCGTAGATGACCTCTGAGGTCCAAGGAGACCCAGCCACTGTAGACATGGAGGAGACATCCGCCACCCCCAACTGAGGGGGAGGTGCAGGGACGCCACAGGGGCAGGACCCGAGTCCCTTTTCACTTACCTCTGCCTCTGGAACTGGTGGGGGAGGCACCCCCTGGCTAAAAGGCAGACCCACGTCCCATCCAGCCAGTCGGGCTGGGGGCCGTCAGCCGTCCTCCGGCTCCTCAAGCCCTCTCCCTGGGGTGGATGCTTCCTGCTGCCCGCTGGCCCCACTCCCCGGTGTAGACGGCGAGGAGGAGCATGGCCGTGGGAACAGCCCCTCCAGGAACACTGGCCGGAAGCCCAGGGCAGGGGCGGGCAGAGGGGACAGCGGGGCTTCCAATCCAGGACAGCAGCATCTGGACTGGGCAGGAACAGGCAGAGGGCAGTGCCGAGGGACCCCAAGGAGTGGCCGTGCCTGGGACCTCTGGGGACTTAGAGCAGGCATGGAGGGGGCCTGGGTGGAGGCCAGAAGCCTGAGACCCCGCGAGCCAAGAGCAGAGAGGTTCTGAAGTATGAGAACTGAGAGCCACTCCCAGGCTCTCAAGGCCCCACTTCCTGGCCTGGGCTGGCCCTGGGCGTGGGGGTGGGGCCCCGCTGGGACCGGGCTGGGCATGGCCAGCACACTGGAGCCCCCTGACTGGAGACCTGCCCAGTCTGGAGGGACACAGGGCCAGGAGTATATGTCCCAGGAGAGCTGAGGGAAGGGTCCCACCCACAAAAAGCCCTCAGAGGACTTGCTCTCTGAGAAGGGTCTTCCAAGGGGAAGCCCCTGTGGGAGCTGCCAGCCGGGCCCTCACCTGGGGTCCCACAGCCCACTCTTTCCGGCCCTTCCCCAGAAGGCCCCACCAGGGAGAGCAGGGGCACATGCTTCATCACCCCAGTGTCTCTCCCGATAACCCCTGACCCCGCCCCCCTAGTCCTGGACCAGGACTGGGAACTGTGGGTGGGTCACTTACCCCAGCCTCAGACCTGGGTCCACTGTTGGAGTTCCCACTGCCCCTCCTCATCTGGACCTGGGCCTCAGGACCACCCTTCAGCTGCCCCAGGGCTCCCTGGGGGGCACCCTCCTGGCCCCACTCCCTGTGTTTGGTAATTACCTCTATACATATAGGCAGCTTGGGATTTCTGCCCTCCCTGGGGGTCCTCACCTACCCTGACCTTCCCCTGTCCTCACTCCTTGACCTTCTCTGGGGGGGTGTCTTCACCCTCCTGGGCCCTCCTGGGGGTCCTCACCCCCGGGCCCCCCCCCGCCCCCCCACAAACCTCTCCTCAGGCCTGGCAGTGGCTCTAGACATCTGGAAGACCCTTGGGGCCTGCCACGTGATGATGACGTCAGAGGGACTGGGGCGGGAGGGAGGAGAGGGGCCCTTCTCGGCAGGCACCGCTGGGGATGGGCAAGGGCCTGCAGGTGGAGATTCCGGAAGTGGTGGACCTGGCTCCTAGGCCGGAGCGGAAGCCTCCAGATGCCTGACAGGGGCAGCAGAGACACGCAGTAGGAGGGCCTGGACTGGCTGTGGGCAGGCAGCAGGTGTTCTGGGTGGTCCCCCGTGTCCTGGGGTGCCCCGCAGGGGTCTGCTCGCTCTCTGGGGTCTCAGATTCCTCCTGCGTGAGGCTGACCCTCAGAGCCCTGCTCCTCACCCTACTGTAACCCCCAAAGATGCCCTCCAGGATGGGAGGGGCCTTGCTCAGCCACGGTGCCCCGCCCCCACCTTAAACTAGCAGCCTCACCCAATCCTGGTGAGAAATGGCCTTTAGCGCATGCTCCTCAGGGTTCCTGGGAAATGGCCCCAGAGGGAAAGGGTCCCACCACTTCCCCGCCCACCTGCCCTCACTCCTAAGACCCTTCTCTGCCGGGGCTCCCGCAGAGGACCCAGAGGGCCACCAGACACCCACCGCACCTCCCCTGGGAGGACCCAGAGGGCCACTGGCATAGCCCCGCCCTCTCGGGACCCAGGCTGGCATGACCTGCACCGCACCTCCCCTGGGAGGCCCCAGAGGCTGGCTGCTCGGCATGGAAACATGGTTGGGCTCAGAGCCACCTTTGCTAAAGGACACCGACTAACTGACTCTAGCCTGCCTGGGCCTGGCACCCTGCTGGGCAGTCAGTGAGCGCCCCTTCCCACCCCACCCTGCTGCGACACCCAGATGTGCTCCCGTGGTTGGGGGACAGGAGGAGGCAGGGTGTCCTTGGGGACAGGATGTCCTGGGAAGATGGGGTGTTTTGGGGGGTGGGGGTGTTCTGGGGCGTGTTGTCCTGTAGGACAGGGTATCCTTGGAGTGGGGTGCCTTGGGAAGACAGGGTGTCTTGGGAAGCAGGGGTGCCGTTGAGGATAAGTTCCTGGGGGCAGAGGGCTTTGGAGAGGGCTGGGATTTGGGGGGCGGGGTTTCCGGGGGCTGGGGTGTCCTGGGAAGACGGATGAGATGGCAACAGGACATTCGCAGAGGATAAGGTTCACACTGTCCTGGGGGCAGAGGGCTTTGGGGAAGGAAGGGGTTGGGGTCGGGCGGTGGTCCTGGGGTAGGGCTAGCCCGGAGGGGAGTGGGGTGTGCAGCGCGGGAATGTACCTGGGGGCACATCGCCCGTCGTCGAACTCGAAGGTCCCATTGGTGTAGCCGGCGCCGCG